TGGGCCTCTAGGTAGGAATGTATGAACGAATGATGCATTCTTTTGGACTGAAAGAGTTAAGCAGAGAGAAATGCCTGCTTTGTGGCTTCTCAGAGTGAAAGTATAATAAAGGCAGTTATGAAAGGATAATGTAGCAAAGAAAAAAATCAGACTGACCTTTGTGTTGATGCCTTGGCCCATGTCAACCCCGCCGTGGCTGATGTGAACACTTCCATCGCCATGGTTGATGTTCACAGACACCGTGTGGCAGAACCTGTGCCAGAACATGGGGTATCTGTTGGGCATGACATGAAAGCCACGTTTCCTCCAGCGGTGGGCCTTCAACAAAAGACAATACATTAATTAACTCTTTCGAGTCCAAGCAACTCACCATTTTTTCATTTAGTTCAAATAAATTAGTAGTTCTATTTCACTTACTTTTATCTATCACACCCAAACATATTAACTCCTTAAATCCAAACTGTGAGCTTAGCTTCTTCTGGTCTGATGCTATCTGAACTTATTCAGACCCGAATACAGATGGTTTTAAAGTAGATCCTCCCAATACATAAAGAGTTAAGGAAATTTTTCACTGGTACCAAAATCATAAACATTGAAAATGCGATAGAGAAGTAGCATTTATATTATATTACTCACCTTTCTTTAAACATTTTTCATTCATTAACAGAGCTTAAATGCGAAGTTTTGGTATCACTTAAAGTGATTAAATATTTTTTTCTCAATGAGAAATGCCTCCCAGGATTGAACAAGATTGCACAGACTTTGGCATCAGTTGGTTGAGGGCCTTTACTCCATTGAGGGATACAAGATTACTGATGACTGATGTCAGAATCAACATCGCAGCACCCTGGACAGACCTACAGAAGCTGTGTTTCCCAGACAGACATAATTTATGACACAAGAATCATACATCCTCTCATCATAGAGCTACTAAACATGTTTGGGAAAACATTTGATTTTTTTTTTATGTAATTTTTGTTTTTGTTTTTTGTAAAAACAATATCAACCTTTTTTTTATTAATATTCTTTCATTTCAATGTTGATATTTAAAAAAAATTTAGGAAAAGCTACTGTTGAACTGATACAAAGAAAAAATTTTAAATATATATAATGTGACTAGAAAGCTCAGCGATGACAAGACAAGTACATAACAAACAAACATTACAACCAAAGCCTTTTTGAAAAGAAAAATTTATAACCATAGAAATAAAAAGGAAATAACCCTGGGGAAACCTGTGACTCAAGTTACGAAAAGTATTGAACTACTTATTTTACTTTTGTACGGCATACTTTGTTAAAATCGTCGACTGCCTGCCTGCGATCAGCAACTTTAATCTCCGCCTCCAGCTGAGCAACCACATCGCTGATGAGACAGTGTTCCAACAAGACTCCAGCCAAGGTTGTCTGAGGAAGACAACCAACATATTTTATCATATTACATCAGGGGGAGGAACAATCTGTGATCCAGCACCCACTGGCTTTTGTAATGTCGTGAAGACGTAAAGTGTCTTTAGTGTCAAATCAGCATTAAATGTGTGTTTATTCTCACTGCTGTATTTATCAGTCTATTGCAGACATTATAAGATAAACAAACAGTACTAAACTGTGCAGAAACAAATTCAACGAACATCAACACACAAGCAATTTGACCATTAGATTGACCAGTTCAGTACTGGGAGTTATACATAGTGGCTAAATGCTAATCTGCAGCCTGACATCTTGAGTTCAAATCCATATCTAGCAAATTAAAAACAAAACAAAAAAAGGAGAGATGTTGCCTCTAAAGCTGACCCAGCCTAAAAAAAGTGAGAACTAGGTAATGTCCTGGGAAGTAATGGCGGCCAGCAAGTGTGTTCAAGATGCTGTCCACACCACCCACCAAGTGCTATTTGGTCTAAACAATTTTCTTTTACATGCTTGATGAGCCACTATAGTGTGCAGAAACAAGACCAATGAATTTGCAAGCATAAAATGTAATTAAATACTTCAGGACAAATTTGTAGTTGGTAAAGAAGTTCACATCTTAAAATCTGTGTACAGTAGAGTACAAATATTTGAGTGTTCCTGAGTTAAAACTTTACAATTATGAGATAGAACATGTTAAAGCAACAACTGTGGTAGAACAGCTTAATATAACAGAAAAGTAGAATAGAATGAGTTATCAAATACTAAGTATGCACTCACCCACTGGCCCAAAGGCCTTGGGTTGAAATCCACAATGTTTGCATCTTGTTAAAGACACTTTTGCCATCATGATTCTTGTTCTAATCATGAGTAATAATGTATGTGAGGTGAAAATAAACAATGAATATATAAGATACTGTAGAGTGAGTGTCCTGTGCTAATTAAAGTATGTACAGTCTTACATCTCCATTGCTCAAGAAGTTGATCTTCCTCACTTCCAGATGATCTTTCTTCAAGTAGGAGGCCACATGATCAATCATACACTCCATGCCAAATATGGCGGGAGCAGAACCTTCAAACAATAAATCAAATACGTAAGAATACACATTTTAAAAGCAAGAAAATGCACTGAGATATCACAGGTATTATAAATAATTTTCCTCCATCAAATGATTCTGTGTATGCTTTTCAGAAGCTAAATTACCGATCAGTCTCTCTGGTAAGTTTAGATCTTCAAATGGTTGTGAAAAGTCTATTTTGTTACTACAGTCCAAATTTAAGATATTGCTGTTTGACGCATTGTTAACTTGTTCAGTCCAAAAAGACCAGATCTGATGCCTGATTGAAGCGATAATGATGACAACTTAAGCATAACCAGACTATATCCATGGGGTCAACATACACAGCATACTGTGGGTGACTGGTTTTGGTAGATTGATGTAGTCTGCCTGAATAAACTTGAGATGTAAAAATATGCAAAACATGATGGTTCACACGAGTAATATCCAGCACATGATGTGTTGTTTGGGATGAAAGAGTTAAATTAAATGGCCCGCAAATGTTAAAAAAGATGGGTCTTGAACACATGGGAATTCATGTGACAAATTCTTAAAATCAACCATTTGCACAGATCACTAATAAATTTGTACATATTTAATGACACTTTTTTCTTCAATATATAAAGAAAAAGAAAAATGGTGATCAATAAACATGAAAAAAGTGAAACATTAAACTGAATACATTCCCTGGTGCCTAAAAAAGCAATAGGCATCAGGTGACTCATGACAGTCTGACTGCCACCACTGAGGCTTACAGGAAAATTTGACATTGACTTGACTTTCAAAAAGCCATTGGGGTCATAAGGAAGCCATTCTCAAATGCTAAATTTAGTTACTCTATTTATATCCTGACCTAACACTGTGCAGGTAGACATAGAACCAACTGAATTTAACTATGGTTTTTAAGAACAGGTCACTGCAGATAGGCCAGCATTTACAGACTGTCTCACAAGGGAAATGGAGTAGATTCAGACTTCACAAAGAGGTTTAATGCTGTCAATCCCCTTGATGGGCATATACATAAACATGATTTGATTGTTACAGTGTTTTCAAATACAAAACAAAAGTTTTTTTTAACAGTTATTCTAGTAGTTTTTCCTTACCTTCAAAAAAATCTCTGTACACACACCTCAAAATAGGAACCTGTTGTGTCTCTGCAGTATCCGAAAATACCTGTTGTTTCAACATGTCTTGTCATTTCTGGCACCTGTCAACACCTGTCTTATTTGATTTATGTGCAGAGGTTTTAACCCTAGCATTTAACCATGCTTACCCATATGCCCGATGCGCCAAAAGGCGTGAAAAGGGATCTTTACTTTACTTTACTTACCTGGGGCTCTGACAGCTGTACTCAGTGGCTTGTTTGTTTTGCAGGGTTGGATGCTCCAAGACCAGTTGGGACATGCATAAACTAGAGAGAAAAACATGTTAATTCAGAATTTTAGAGTTAACTCCCATTGTTGTCATGTGATATTGGTCTTCTTCTTCTTTTTCTTCTTCTGCGCTCCTTCTTAAAAGAGCAGTTAGCATGTTATATTGAAGTTTAAAGCTAGACTGTGATAACTGCTCCTTTCAGCCCAACACATCACATTTTGGGAAATTCCTAATTAGTCGCTTTTAAGGGGGAAAGGTCTATTCTTCACCTCTACGCTCTTTTAAATAGGGCCCCAGAAGCCACAAGGGGAGTGGCACTAGTATTGTTTATGGACGTTTTATAAATGTCTTTATGGATGTTTTATGGATGTCACTACTGATGTTTCATGTGTGTAATTGAATGTTGAATGATGAATTAAGAATTGACATCACAGCATTCGGTACACTCCCATACGTGCTCCGTCCTTATATTTAGCAGCAAGCAAAGAGTTCCAATTTCGATGGCACCAGTAGCCATCTGATTGTATATCCATCTCATCCTTCCTCTAAGTGTTGACCGTCGGCCACATCCCCTGGTAACTCTGTGTAATTATGTATGGCATAGACATACTGAATATTTTATGGGTGTAATTATGAATATCATTAAGGATGTTATATTGCTGTCATTATGGACATTTACTGGATGTCATCATGGATGGTTTATTATTTTATTACTTACAAATGATCTTTAACACCCTGAGCACTCAGTATCCCAGTAATTGTTTTTGTCTGTACATGATATTCTCAACATTCTTTTCAAAAACGACCTCTAAACTGAATTTAGTTTTTTACTACAATCACCATCCTCAAAGCAGAAAAACTTGGTCAATCAAACTGTATGTGCAGACTGCTGGTGCTATTCTTCTCAAGCAGATGCACATCAACTTTGACAGAAATGTTGATCCTAGCTAGGCTGGTCAGGCCCCTGATTGCGAACCTGTTTCTAGGATGACCACAGAGAGGTTGAGGCAGGTGTTGACCAGTATCAGCCCTGGTACTGGCGTACCTCCAAATCCGATTCAGCACATCCACATCCCAAGGCATACCAGTTAGCCTCACTCCCCACCAGCTGGCCTATCCTGACCTTATAAACAAAGGGCACCAGAATATTCAACTGAAGTTTACCGCTGTCAATATATGCCTCTGTGTACTCATTGCCGTCTGGCGGGAAGAACAGAGCCCCGGTGTCCGAGTAAGCTGTGGCAATGATGGCCAGGATCTTTCCATCATCATCAAACCCCACCTGAAAGTGATGAACATACACAGTCAATGGGATCCAGACAAATCTCTACAAATGTCTGGTTTTTAGTTAGACATAAAAAATGAAACAAACACACATGAACGCACACACATGTATGTGCGCGGGCACATACACACACACACATATTGAATGTTAAATTAAGAATCAACATCATAGCACTCGGGACACCCCCATAAGCGCTCCATCACCATCTTCAGCAGCAAAGGAAGAGTTCCAATTCCAATGGCACCAGTAACTATCTGATTGTATATCCGTCTCGCCCTTTCCTTGAGTGTTGAGCGTCGGTCAGATCCCCTGGTAACTCCTCGCAGAGCCATTCTCCTCAGACCGTAATCATCCATTTTCACATCCGCACTGTTCACTCGCTCCTAGAGAGTACTCACAATGTCTAGCTCATACACATATGAGCATTTACTATCTCATGCTTGTTCACGCACTGTGTGAGTAAGTGTGTATGTGTGTATGAGCGAGTACATTCCTGCACATGTGTGCCATATATAAAAAAAAAAGTTCTTAAATGGCCAGTGTTATATTTTCTTAATGCCAACATTCTACAAAAATGTATCCTCTACCAGGTGTCACTGTTCTTTCTATCACAGTTACTTGTAAGGTTACATTGATCTTGGTTCATCTTAACAAAATATTGATGACAGCATAACAACTCAAACACAAACCATGCTCACACCTTACAGAGGTCTCACATGCTTTATTTACAACCAATTGCCACACTCTCATGTGGAAAACCCAGGTTTGATCCCTGGTAGGGTGCTGGAGTTTTTCAGTTGGGGGCAAAATTAAACATCCTAACCTGTACAGTCAGTGGCGTCAGCACTAACCATGCAGTCCTAAATCCTCAGTTTCACGATCCCCCTGTCTACATCGCCCTAACAAGTGGTAAAACAATGGCAGCATAAATGGGATTGCCCACACTCGTGACTAAAGGCAGATTGCCCTGAGGATTCTTTACAGTCATGATCCTCATTCCCGGCATCTTTGGTTTCCACCAGCAGCCAGGTCTCAGGGGCCACTCTCACAGTTCTAGCTCCTTTTGCAGCTACAATGCTGCCACTGATACCTGCCAGGAAACTTTAAGGTGCACTGTGTATAATGCAGACCGTCTTTTGGGAGTGACACCTCCCCTGCGATGATGGTCCCTGAAGGATAGTGTGTGATAATAATATTACTTGCATATTGTGTCTATTAGTTTATCAAGGTATACAGAAGAGTTTTATTCTAATAGAAGTAAAAAAAAAAAAAGAATAATTACACACGGCCAATATCATAAAGTAACTGCTGTTAGAAGAAACTGAGAAAAATATCGCTACAACACTGTAAGCTAAGGTACACCTAACTATTGCACATGTCAGTCCCTTACCAATCTAAACAAAAAACTGTCTGTCTACTAGAAACGTACAAAATCGTCTGTCCTGTAACATCTAAGTATTGTCTCTTTGTCCATGAAAGTTTAATTTACTTGGTTAGTTTTGTCTGTTGTCTGTCATGTTCATCAGTCCCTCATTGCTGGGTTGTTGTTTTTTAACAATACAACATTGTCAAGTGTATATTTGGTAAACCTTATCTGGTCTATCTTATTGTTACATTCCTTATATTACATTATATTCAGGTGCACACACAAACACATGGTTCATGAGATCACGTCTTGAAGCAAGCTACAATTTTTACAATATGCTGGGTCCTAATCTATGCACAACAACCCTTTAGTTTGTATAATTACTGGACTGCCTACCAAGATGGCAGAATTCTCTCCTACAACACAAAGATGCACTAAACTTGTGTCCTAGAGCACAACTGCTAATCACAAACCCAAAGAAAACCCATCCTGCAAATAACTGACAACCACTACAGACGCTTAACAAACATGGACTTGTGATGGCATTATTTACCTCATAGTCGTAGACATAAAAAGTTCTCTTTCCTTGGAACTGCATGTTGGTGTGAAGGTCCAGATTCAGCAGCACAGGACTGTGGGCGGTAAGATACTACATTAGCTGGGGCAGGGATTTGTTTCACAAACAATGTCTCTGCTTCAACAGCACAAGCAGCTGGCATCAGAGGTCACTGGTTGTAATTAGGCCACGGTAAATAACTCAAGGCTCTCTTAACTCTTTGAGACCCAGGAAACGCATCACGTGCTAATTTGTTTTAAAAGTGCAGCCCAATCGACACGTGACAAGTGAAGGTTTTTAATCTACCACTGACCGGTTATAAAATGCACACCACCCATTTTCAACTTCCTTTCGAGTTTTTTGTGTCTGATAGCAGGCGTGCTCATTTAGAAACGTGGGTGGAAAGCTGAAAATAAAGTAAATTTGCGAGATTCTCATTTATTTTCATTTAGATTTAGTTATTTCGTCTGCGTTGTAATTTTAAGCTGTGCTGTTTACCATGGCGTTCATTTCCTAATTATGGTGTTTTTTTTCCTGTGTTCATTTGCTTTTCAAGTGTTTTTGTTTCTCCCTCCCAACTACTTCAATGAGGGAAAGAGTTGTCGGTGAATTTGGGGGGGGGGGGTGGGGGGGGACTATTTACTGAGAGAGCTTTAAGTCACAGTAACTGCTTTACCCACTTAAAGTAGCAGCAGCAGTAATAGTTGTGGTTGGGCTGTTACACCATAGTGCTCTCATGTGAAGACCTCCGGTAAGGTTATGGCGTTCTTCTGTCGGCAAGTGAAATTATACATCCTAACCTGATCAGTCTGTTGCGACAGCACTAGCCATGCGGAACCAAATCTTCTGGCTCACGACTCTCTGTCTACTCCGATGGTAACACAGATAGCAGTGACATTATTTTAGTAGTTGTACTGGTACTTGAAGGATGATGTGGTAAATAGTACACTAAAATTCACTACCTATTACAATTCCTGCTCCCCATTTTAGTCCAGATGGACAGGGATGTCAATGTCAGTTACAGCAACAAAAAAATATCACCAGGTAATGATTTTCAAAAATTTCGAAGAGGGAGAGAGCAGTAGTCGGTGGAAGAGGGGAGGGGGGTAATGACTTAAATTTAAGAGAACTTAAAGAGCTTTACACGTGATTTTCAAGTTCTCATTACCTAATTTGTTTATATTTTACTAACGCTACCTCCGCTTTTCTATTTTTTATGACTTACTTTGTTATTTACAAGTACAGTTGTAGCTTTACTTCCGTCTCCTATAAAAATACAAACAGCTTTAGCATGTGATAACCAAATAACCACTTTTGTTACCATGCTAATAGCACCATTTAAACGACCACTAATATAAAGACACAATTATATGGTGCGTGTTCTAAAGTTGGTAAACCAGACTATCTCTATATAAATGTGCAGAGAATTATTGCGACATTAACTATATTAGACAGGTGTGATTTCCATTGTCTTTCTTTTCCAAAAACCTTTGATGAGGGAGAGGGTAGTAGGTGGATTTAGTTGTGGGAGGGGGGGGGGGTCAAATACTATCTTAAATTACGCCACAGCAACGCGTGGCCGGGTACAGCTAGTATTTCATATTATTTCACACATTATTATCGTTATTGTGCAATTAACCAAGATTTAAGCCTCTTGAGCGCCCCCCCCCCCCCCCCCCACTTCCCCCCCACTTCCCCAACACCCTCAACCCTCACCCTCTAGAAAGCCTGCCTGGTTGTAACTTTCTGACAACAAAATGAACACTCACCGCCTGGTCACAAAGGCAGCCACAGCACACATGCCAGCTACTGGTGGTGAGTAGAAGATCTTTCCACCAAAACCTCCACCCAGCCGCTGAGTTTCCACTGTGATGCTGCAAAATTACAGGATATTTTACACATGAAATACAAGCCAAATGCTAGAAGATATTAAATTACCCCATTTATATGCTAGTAGACATTAAAGTGCCCCATTTTATATGCTTGTAGACATTAAAGAGCCCCATTTATATGCTAGTAGATATTAAATTACCCCTTTTACATGCTAGTAAACATTAGTGCCCCATTTATATACTAGTAGACACAAAAGAGCCCCATTTATATGCTAGTAGACATTAAAGTGCCCCCTTTTATATGCTTGTAGACATTAAAGAGCCCCATTTATATGATAGTAGACATTAAAGTGCCCCATTTATATGCTAGAGGACATTAAAGTGCCCCTTTTATATGCTAGTAGACACTAAAGTGCCCCCTTTTCTATACAAGTAGACACTAAACTGCCCCTTTTTATATACTAGTAGACACTAAAGTGCCCCATTTATATGCTAGTAGACACTAAACTGCCCCTTTTTATATGCTAGTAGACACTAAAGTGCCCCATTTATGTGCTAGTAGACATTAAAGTGCCCCATTTATATGCTAGTAGACGTTAAAGTGCCCCATTTATATACTAGTAGACATTAAAGTGCCCCATTTATATGCTAGTAGACACTAAAGTGCCCCATTTATATGCTAGTAGACATTAAAGTGCCCCATTTATATGCTAGTAGACATTAAAGTGCCCCATTTATATGCTAGAGGACATTAAAGTGCCCCTTTTATATGCTAGTAGACACTAAAGTGCCCCCTTTTCTATACAAGTAGACACTAAACTGCCCCTTTTTATATGCTAGTAGACACTAAAGTGCCCCATTTATATGCTAGTTGACATTACAGTGCCCCTTTATATGCTAATGGACATTAAAGTAAACCATTTATATGCCAGTAGACAGTGAAGCTCCCCATTTATAACCTCCATACATAAACTGAAAAGATACAGTTTTGTCGACCAGCTAGTGAGTTGAGTGCATGGCATGACGCCGTGAGCTGCAGATTATATTTGTAATGGTTTCTGACTGTGACTAACGTGGTTTGTGTTGTGAACTGCAGGTTTAGAAAATGCTATGTCACCAGGGATAATTGGTGGCCCCTTATGTGATTAATTGTGTGTGCATGCACTGATCCGTTGTAACTGCTGCTTCTATCAACGATGAACCTGCATTTCTAGTGTTGGACTGTTTGTTTTGGCACTTCTGATGGCTGCCCTATGCATTTAATGCGTGTGTATGGTACTGACTTTGCTGACACTGCAGCATGTGTCAATATTTTTCACTCAGGACAGAGATGGACATTCTGCATGCTTTTCGTTGGCAAAGAAACATTAGGGAGTGACCCATTAGCTAAAATAGTTTGAACTGTGATTACCTGAAAGTACCTCAATTCTATGGATACTCAATGTGTGTGACTATGTAATCAGGGTAGGAAGTAGACTATTATGCAATACAGGTAATCTGGTAATTTTAATTTCAGCTTCATGGCAAACGGGTCACCCCATCCTTGCTCCGCTCCTGTGCCAACGAAAAACACAGAATGTTTATCACAGTCCCTTGTGGAAAGACTGACAAACTGCTCTTGCAGCAAATCTAGCATACACTCGCATTAAAAGCATATGGTAGCCATCCGAAGTGCCAACAGAAACAGTCCAACGTTAGAAATGCAGTTCATCATTGATGGTAGCAGAAATCATTAAAAGATCAGCAGTTGCACACGCGATCAATTTTAATCAAATAATGGCCCCACCAATATTGCGACAACAGACATTGCGCCATTTTCTGAATCTACAAATCACACCACCACGTTGGTCAGTCGAAAAACATTCCAAATGAAATCGGCAGCTCACAGTGTCACACCATGCACTCAACTCAGAGGCTGGGCAACAAAACTATATACTTCCAGTCTACAAATGGAGCAAAAAAGCAATGGCCACAGTCTGGCAGAAGCTCAAAACAGTAACAGTGCCTAGTGTCCATTTGGACCTGAAGCATTATGCAATACTATTGCACACTAGACAACATAAAATACAAAAACTATAGTTACCATGTCAGGTATAAAACTGGCAAGGTGAGGTTCTTTTGTCATTTGGATGTTACAGGCCTGATTTCTGGCATTGTAATTACAGCTTTTGATTTTCATATTGACTTTCCATCTATCTACTTCTTTCTATGAGTGTGGATCGATATAAATTTTTTTGTTTATTATATATACCGTTTCTTCGACCCCAAGGGTTCCCCATCCGTTTATCTAAAGTCCCTAGTGCTCACCTGGACTCTGGCAGTCCCAACACCTGAGAGACGGTCTCACTACAAGCGTCCAGCCACTGAGATGTTGCCATGACGTCCATGCCACCTGTGTCTGTGGGAATACAGAGAGCAGCCTGGTTCTCCAGGTGAAAGTTGTACTGGTCAGATGAGTGGACAGCACCTTTCACACGGTGCGGAGCCGCTGCCATGGCCGCTACAAAATAAAGGTTCATAATTGTATTTTTTTCAGCTATGGCACGTTTGGAAATAATCACAGGAAAATTAACCTGCTGTAGACTGTCAGAGCCACACAGTATGTCGTGAATTTTAAATGAGTTGTGTTGTGTTGAGTTAAGAACTGACATGATTGGCATTATAGTATTTTGAACATTTCCATCAGTGCTCTATCCCCATATTCAGCAGCCAGTGCAGAGTCCCAAGTTCCTTTTGCGATGATACCAGCAGCAGTCTTATTGTATGCCCATCTGGCATCTTTTTTTCTTTCTTTCTTGCTCTCTCTCTCTCTCTCTCTGTGTGTGTGTGTGGTGTGTATAGTGTGTGTGTGCGTGTGCACATGCATGCGTGTGTGTGCACGTGTGTGTGCATGCATACATGCCTGCATTTGTGTGTGTGTGTGCATTCGTGCATGTTTGTGCACACATCTGTGTATGTGTTGTTGTTGTTATTGTTGTTGTTGCTGCTGTTGTTGCAAGTGTTGAGAATTTGAAGTGTAAGGTTGTGCTCAACTGTGTGACACAGCTAGCAGCATTGTTAAGGCCAGTGTGAAAGGTAAAATTAAGCAACCTGCCAATGACCCAGAGAGTGCACAGATCAACACCCCCTCACCTCTCCATCATGGTGCATGCTGGAAACCTGAAGCAGTGAGATTTCAGGCTAATGGGCCAATGGCTTCCCTGGAAGGATATGGGCACCAGCTAGGTCAGTGTTTTTTCTTGCCCTGCCATGCAACAGGCCTAGCAAGCCAGCAGTGGTGTAGTCAACCACTATGACACAGGATAGATAGGAGAGAAAATCAAACAGGACAGACTCATGGGGATATCCGACAGGCAATGTTAAAGGACAACCTAGTTTCAATGAGACGACAAAAGAAAAGAGGAAGAGAATCTGAGGTTCTTTATTAATATCCTACCCCAGATGACATCACAGGACAGTCCAACATTTTAGAGGGTGGTAAGACTGGGTTTCCCGGCTTTCTGATGCTTTTAACGACCCTAAAACATCTAGAACTGGCCCAACCCCAACCCACGAGTGGGAGTGCAGCCTAGGTCACACAACTGCATCCAGCCTATCTAACACCCCCTGAAATATTAGCCTGTCCCATGACCTATGGATTTCCCCTGTTTGGGGTAGAATAATTATAAAGCACTGAATCTGAAATATATATCAGAATCATTTTGTGCATTTGATTTTCTGTGTCAAGAATACAAGCCGTCTAAACAACGGTAGCAGGCAAGAGCTAACATTTTGTCAAATAAAAGTATTATTCTGACAGCTTCACAACTTCATTACCAAGTGTCTAAAAAATAACCTACCTGTGGCATCGCCTTTTGTGATGGGCCCAATCTTCTTAAAGAAAGACCGCTTCTTCATGGCCTCCTCTACGCTAGTTATAGCCGGCTGAATGTCAGTGTATGTAACCTTGACAGCAAACCTTGAACTTTGAGCTGTGACTTCATCCTCTGTAAATAAAAGAGCTGTGATCAAGCTGCAACTTTCTTCCTATAGATGTGCAGAGAGGCTAATATCGCAGTCAATGTTTGCATGATGATATATATCATATAAATTCAGAGGTCTTTTTCTTGTCTTTCATCTTGTTGCTGGAGGTGATGTTATTTCTCCTAATCCTCACTTGTCACTAAGTGTAGAGGTGAGTGAAGCATGAACTGAGGATGTCCCAAGACGAGATGTGTTATGTTGGTTACCTCGCCTATTTTTACGAGAAGAATGGCACTGCGAGGAGTTACAAGGGGATCTGGCTGATGCTTGACACTCAGGGGAAAGGCGAGAGGCATATACAGTCAGACAGTTACTGGTACCATCAGAATTTTTTACTCTTCGCTTGCTGCTGAAGATGGGGGACGGAGCACTTATGGGGATGTCCTGAGTGCTGTGATGTCAATTCCTAATTCAACATTCATAATTCAAAATTCTACTCTTGATTTCTTTATCTTTTTTTGTCTGATGTTACAACTGCTCCAAATACTTGAATTTACTGAGTTAGTTTAGCATTTAGTGCAAAGACATTGAACCGGCATCTGAGCTCAAATATCGGGGAACAACATTCACTGAAGATGGTAAATTAGATAAAGACATTAATATACAAAGCAATAAAGCAAATAAATTATTGAGACAGCTAGCCTTCCATTTTTTAGCAGATGACAATCCTGATGAGCACAAAGAAACATCTCATACAAAACTTTTTCATTCCCACTCAATGCTACCATTGCCAGACATGGTCACTCACAACAAACCAGAAAAGAAAATTAGCAACCATGGAGATGAGATGTCTGAGAAGGGCTCAGGGGTGACCAGTAGAGACAAAGTCAGAAATGAGGTCATAAGAAAAAAACAGCTGGCACAAAAACAATTCTAAATTACACACACAGACAACAAATCAAATGGTTTGCTCACTTAGTGAGAATGCCTTGTGATGCCATACCATGCACAGCAGACACTAAAAGAGAAGAAGGACATTGAGCATGGGTAGACCAAGAACAAAATGGACAGATAACATTAGAGAGACTTTATAAAAGCACTATGTGTCTATAGTGGAAGTGGCCAGAAGAGCCAGAAGCAGAACATAATTTTTCCCTTGAAATCTGAAGTTGTGAAAAAAAATGAAGAATTTTGTGTGTGAGTCTTATCACATTTGAGTGTTATTTCTTTTCTTTGGTGAAATCACTGTTTCTGTTTTGTTGATATTCAAGGACAGCAGCTTTCTGATGGCATGAGAGCAGCACAGCTTGACATGTTGTGACTGTAACAGACTTGCAGAGCAGAGTGGCTTTTATCACTTGACAAGACCCAGACCAAGGGTATATCATGGATTTTCAGGTGTGTAAGGTAGCGAGCAGGCTGATAGATTAGCCGCTGCTGTCACTGCTCCTCTGGGCAGTAAACTACTTTATAATAAAGGGGACTTAGTGAAGGCTATATTGGATCAAATGGACAGTGCAAAAGAAAAGATAGGGAATCCTTACATGAAAGACTAAGTCAAAGGGGAAGAGGGGGGGGGGGGGGGGGGGGTCTGTAGAGGTTCTGGAAGTCATTCAACAATGAAGGGGAAACAGAGCTGGACTTTTAATCATGTTGGGAATGGTACTATCAGCTGGTCAACTCTCTGCTAGTTACCGAAGAAAGGGACAGAGCAACTGTGAGAATATCCCGAGGCATACAGTGATGTCATTTCATTCATTCATTCATTCATTCATTCATTCATTCATTCATTCATTCATTCACTCAGTTATGATACAGAACTAAACAATAAACAGCATGATATAAAACACCCAAAAGGGCAACAGTCAACAACCAACAGCTCATACCTGCCAAGAGAATGCCAATGGGTTGTCCAGCGTACAATACTTGCTCTGAGCAGAGAAGCTGGAAAACAATCAAACATCAACAATAATTCGCTATAATTGGCCATTGAAACTGTCTTTTACTTTTTCTGTGTTTGCCCTTAAAGGGACAGTTGGCACAAGGTTTTGTGGTTTACAGCTAGGCTGTGATATCTGCACCTTATGGCCAAACACATCTGATCCCAGAAAACCTCTAATTAGTCGCCTTATACCACTAGCTTATTGGGGGAAAGAGGGAAAGGGGGGCAGGGGGTCTTTTCCTGCCCCCCACCCCTGAAATTCCCCCACCTTTTCCCCAATATATATATATATATATCATCATCATTATCATCAAATGCTTTGCTGACTCGCATGGGTGATCACACCTCTCCACAATCTGCAGTCTTCAACAGCATTTATTAGTTCATGTGCTGATACTTATCCATGTCATGACATAGGGCTGTCAAGAATCTTCTCATTTTGTCTTTCTCTGTCTCTCTTTCCACAGATCTTTCCAGTGGTCACAACATATTCCAGTTTACATCTTCTCATAACATGACCCAAAAAATGCTGTTTTGAGTTATGGCCACCAACCACAATTCCAGGCATATCCATCATAGATCACATTATATATATTCACCCTATAATAAAAACAAAACAGATAATAGCACACATCTATATGTGTGTGCACATGCGCACATGCAAGTGTGTAGGCATGTATATGTGTGCACATGTATGTGTGTGTGTACATGTGTGTGTGCATGTGCATGTGTGTGTGCATGTGCAGGCGTGTATATGTTGCATATTGTTAACAGAACACTGCAAAACCAACCGAAGCATTTTTTTGAACCTATATGGCAATGGAACACTTAGTAGTCTGCGACTGCTTCTGAATGGTCAGCTATCAATACCATTGTGGAGATCAACATAAAGCGGTCTCCTGCCAAACTGCTTGCAGCTTGAAATGAAAAAGGTGCCTTGGAATCATGTAGAGGGTTAAAATTCCGTAACCAGAGATGACTCATACCACACACACACACATATGTGTGTGTGTATATATATATATATATATATATATATATATATATATATATATATATATATATATATATATATATATATATATATATATATATATATATATATACAGAAAGAGAGAGAGAGGGGGAGGGAGGAAGATAGAGAGGAAACATAACTGCATACCTCCTGATTCTCATTTTCTGCGTAATATCCATGTGGTCTCCAGTCATTGACACCTGGAATGTCTGATGCCTCGACGAACCTGACTACACCTGGAATTTTCTGGAAGCAGATTAATTACTTACTGCACATTACCATGACTTTTGGTTTATGCATTCCTTTCTGTTTCCATCACAGAAAATTTCATTTCAATTATACCTACATTTTTAAAAACCGTCCTCTTGTGCTTTGACTTTTCAAAGGAGGGCTGTCACTGTGTGTTGTGGTTGTGGCTAGGTTGTAATATATGCACCTTTCACTCCAACACATCCAGTTTCAGTAAACCTCTAATTAGCTGCCTTTTCAGACAATCTTATTACGGGGTAGTGGGCCTATTCTTCTTTCCCCCAAAATGGGTTCCAAGAACTCACACACGAGTCTTCATATATTTCATGTGATTTTCTAATTATCTGTAATATCTCATTAGATTTTCTAATCACCTGTAATATCTCATTTGATTTTCTTATTACCTGTTCACTGTCCAGGTTTCTGCACCAGGACCTTTTTTTTTTCTGGTGGTATACAACAGTGACTCGTGACTGTCCCTACTGGACGAGGCTGTTCTTAGACTTCCCTTAACCTCGTTCATGAGATTCAATCTGTATTTCTTCATGAGATATCTTGGGAATATAATGGGGTGGTTTCCTGTTGTCCTCCACATCGACGAGGCATATTTTAAACTGCACCTTTGACAGTAATTTCCAACTGTCAGGACAAGTGGGTGCATTTCTCTGCCCTGCTGCGAAGTGATCCACTTATTCTAGAGCATACTGGGTCCCCATATCTGCATTAGCCACACCATGGTGTGTTTCCCCACCCTCCAGTGCATACTCGGTTCCCATATCTGCATTAGCCACACCATGGTGTGTTTCCCCACCCTCCAGTGCATACTCGGTCCCCATATCTGCATTAGCCACACCATGGTGTGCTTCCCCACCCTCCAGTGCATACTCGGTTCCCATATCTGCATTAGCCACACCATGGTGTGTTTCCCCACCCTCCAGTGCATACTCTGTCCCCAAATCTGCGTTAGCCACACCATGGTGTGTTTCCCCACCCTCCAGTGCATACTCGGTTCCCATATCTGCATTAGCCACACCATAGTGTGTTTCCCCACCCTCCAGTGCATACTCGGTTCCCATATCTGCATTAGCCACACCATGGTGTGTTTCCCCACCCTTCAGTGCATACTCGGTTCCCATATCTGCATTAGCCACACCATGGTGTGTTTCCCCACCCTCCAGTGCATACTCGGTTCCCATATCTGCATTAGCCACACCATGGTGTGTTTCCCACCCTCCAGTGCATACTCGGTCCCTATATCTGCATTAGCCACACCATGGTGTGTTTCCCCACCCTCCAGTGCATACTCGGTTCCCATATCTGCATTAGCCACACCATGGTGTGTTTCCCCACCCTCCAGTGCATACTCGGTTCCCATATCTGCATTAGCCACACCATGGTGTGTTTCCCCACCCTATAGTTCATACTCGGTTCCCATATCTGCATTAGCCACACCATGGTGTGTTTCCCACCCTCCAGTGCATACTCTGTCCCCATATCTGCATTAGCCACACCGTGGTGTTTCCCCACTCTCCACAACTTGGAGGTACAGTCTGGGATTTTCCCTTTCATCAAATCTGAGACCAGGATGGCATTTCTAAAACTGTCTAGGTGCTTTCTAGAGGGCAGTAAACACAACTGATTTATAACAGCTGCTGGATATTGTGGGGGTGGAGAGTGCTAAGAAAGGACTTTCCTTGAATAATAGGAAAACGGAAGTAATTATTAGATCAAAGAAGAAGATATCACCACATTGTGAGATCTCAATTAAAGGAAAAAGCTTACTTAACCAATTCAATAAATTCAAATATCTGAGAACAATCATATCATCAGATGGAAAATATGTGACAGAGATTAAAAGCAGAACAGGTCAAGCGAAGGCAGCAATTCAGAAAAGGAAAAATATCTTATGCAATAAGTCGCTCTAATTTATTGCCAGAAAGAGAGTGCTAAAATGTTACATAGAACCTGTTCTGCTGTATGGCAGCGAATCTTGGAATGTCAGTTAAAAAATTAGGAAGAATTTGGCAACAAAGATGTGGTTTCTGAAACGAATGTTACGAATACCTTGGAAGGCCAGAATAACTAACAACAATTGCTTGAAAGAAGCTAATGAAAGTTGATCTCTATATACTACAATAAGAAAGAGACACTGTTCTTTGGCCACATAATGAGAAGAGAGGCATTAGAAAACATCGTGACAACTGGAAAGTTCAGTGAAAAGAGAGGTAGAAGCAGATGAACAGAGATGATGCTGGATGGGCTGAAACGATGGCATGGAGGGATATCATCAAGAAAGCTGTTCCTGGCAACCAGGGATCATTATCTATGGAGAAGCTTGAGCGCCTACGCCAACTGGCAAGGCACATGATGATATTGATGATGAAACAGTACTACCTGATTTTTTTTTATGGGGGGAGGGGGGCAATTTTTTTAGTGCTACTGTAATAGATATTTTGTGGTTAGTACCAGCACCTGTTTATAAATACCTTCTAGTAAGTACCGGCACCTTTGTTTACCGAAAATAAAGCACTGTATAATAACAGACAGTTCTCATTGTTAACTGTGTACATCACTAACTAAACAGGTGGTACAGGTCAGTAAAGCAGATCAAGATAAACAGATAACATTAGAGAGAGACTTTATAACAGCATTTTGTGTTTATGGTGGAGACCGCCAGAAACAGAACCCTTTATATCCCTTGACACCCAAAGTCGTAAAAAAAATGAAGCCATTTTGTATGTACCCCTTTCACACCTGTGGAATATTTGGCATGTGCTGTTAGACTTGTCACGTTATAGACCAATTAGCACTCAACGGGCAAGGCTGTCGACAAACCGCCAGCCGTCTTTACTTCCCAGATTTTAGCCAGTATGATTTGTACCATACAACTAATTCACATCATGACATTCAAAGAGTAACTTACCTTTCTTTGTTCTATTTTTATGAAAAGTCTGAAACATATCTGACATTAATCAAATAGAACTTTCAAAACTTGCAGTTCTAACTGTTAACTTTGTGATATTCTGTCCTGCTGTTTGTGCAGTAAGGTGTTGCAGAAAGGAGTTAGATGTACCAGCAGTTTGCTGTATTGTTTGGCAGTTATGTAGCTTATGTTAATGTCACACTGCATTTCTCTGGTATCTCTTTCACTCCCTGCACCCACCTCTTTCTCGTTTGGCTTGTAGTCCGCTGTTCTCATACAGTATCCTCTAGCTGCTGGCTGATCTTGTTCCATTCTGAAGACATGACTAAACCATTTTATTCTTTGATTTTCTATTAAATCATTAACCGGTACTGTGCCAACTTGGCAACATCAATTACAGAAAAGCTATAACTTCAAAAAAACATAGCTACATTTTCATGCAAATGTTTGGCTGTTTCACCAGGATTTACACAGACATTCTGCGCAGTAATATAACAGATGTTTTCAAAACAAGCTCTGTTAGTCATCACTTACCAAGGCCATGGAGGCATCAATACTCTGTATCTTGGCATTTCCCTGAGTACTGAGTACAAGAGCTGCATGGAGCTGACCTTGTCTGGGTGGCAGGTCAGCCACAAACTTGATTTCTCCTGCTGCCTGCAAGAATCACAAAGTGACACAAATGAACGTATCAAACTGCAGTCTGAAAGCATAATAAAGTGACTCAAATAAACTTGTCACTCAGCTGTCTGAAAGCATTAGAAAGTGACTCAAATAAACTTATCCCTCAGCTGTCTGAAAGCATTAGAAAGTGACTCAAATGAACTTATCCCTCAGCTGTCTGAAAGCATTAGAAAGTGACTCAAATAAAGTAATCCCTCAGCTGTCTGAAAGCATTAGAAAGTGACTCAAATGAACTTATCCCTCAGCTGTCTGAAAGCATTAGAAAGTGACTCAAATGAACTTATCCCTCAGCTGTCTGAAAGCATTAGAAAGTGACTCAAATGAACTTATCCCTCAGCTGTCTGAAAGCATTAGAAAGTGACTCAAATGAACTTATCCCTCAGCTGTCTGAAAGCATAATAAAGTGACTCAAATTAACTAATCGAACAGCTGCATCATTCATTTCACAAGTGCAATGATTACGGATTTCCTCAGGGCTCATCACCAGCGCTACATAGTATGTGCTTTGTGTGACACTCTCAACAGGTGGCTGGCTGTTTTGCAAAGTGAGACTAGGCCATATGAGATAAAACCTGGTGCAATGAAGTCGATCCTCTGAACTTTACGCAAACTTTCAACTTTAACTTTTAAGCCTTTAAAAGTCTGTTTAATGGATTTGGTGGTTCAATTCTCAAATGCATTTGAGTTCCTAGGGAATCTTTGCTGGAGCTAGGCAATTTGTGCTTTGTGCAAGAAATCTGGGTTCACTTACCAAATTGAAGGCTGTGACTTTCATGAGAGACTTGGTGACCGGGTATACATCCGAATTATCTGTGCCATAGTCCTGTGTGCCAGTCATGAGGGGCCGGTACAAATCAAGACCCCCACTCATAAATCGACGAGCACACGTCTGGCCACACACTCCCAGGACAAACTGAAGTAACATGATAAAAAGCAAAACAATTAATAAATATTACTTGCCAGCATTTTAACTCCTTTGATGCCAGGAAATAAATGATTTCAGAGATTATGTTTCAAAATAGCCATTATCTAGGTTTGAATCAAAGTCAACATTGCTGGATTATCATGGAGGTCCTCTGGCCTTCTGTTTCACGTTCTCCATAAACTCTGGTAGTAAATTCTGGTTGTCTGTCCACATATGGACTTTGGTCCTGTTTCAGAACTTTAGTTTTAAATGCACTTCTGTTTTTCAGATCTGGTTTACTTGTATGCAGACTATCAGTTCCTCCTGGCTTCTCGGGCAGATGCACCCCTACTTCGAAGTTCACACCCCTAATTAATCATCTTTTATAACATGTTTGTTGTAGGGTGAACGGGGAGTGGGCGGAGGGGCAGTGGGTTTATTCTTTTCTCCCCTAAAATGAATCCCCTGGAACCCATGTCGGGAGGAAACCCCTAAATTAAAAGAACATCTAAAAATTACCAGAACATCAACAAATTACCAGAACATCAACAAATTACCAGAACATCTACAAATTACCAGAACATCTAGAAATTACCAGAACATCAACAAATTACCAGAACATCTACAAATTACCAGAACATCGACAAATTACCAGAACATCAACAAATTACCAGAACATCTACAAATTACCAGAACATCTACAAATTACCAGAACATCTACAAATTCAGGTTCTGCTAGTTTCTGGACATTTTGTTTCGATTATATGCTTCAGTCAAGACTTCAGACCCAATAAGGCCACTCTTCCAGTTCAACTTGCCAGATAGGCAAGGTACCTTTTTGGCTTTGAAGTTATTTTTGCTTCTAGATTTGGTTCCATAATACAGTTTCCATATATGGACTGGAGTGTACTGTTTCACCCCCTAAGCTACTGAGTTAAGTGCTTCATGAGCACTGTGAACTGTATTTTATGCATGTCCACAGCTTTGTCAAGATATTCAGAAAATGGTGGGAACCTGAATTTGGGTTTGGGCTGGTGAAATATTGTATGTAATATTTTTGCTCATGTATGACCAGTTTATCATAAACTACTAACTTCCATCAATAATAAACTACGATCATGGTGACAGCTGTTGGCATCTCTAGCAGTAGCCTTATGCATTTACTGCATGTGCACGCTTCTGGATTTTGCCAGAACTAATTGTGTGTTCACTAGTATTCATATGGCATGGTGAAGCACATTTTATGTAATTGTCACAGGCATAGGAGTGGATCAACAATGAGGTGACCCATTCGCAGCAAAGGTGAAACCTCAATTACGAGTACTAAGACTACTTACTTCAGTATTCACTAATCACCTTATAGAAATGTCCTACTGCCAATGACTTGCGGTACTCTGGACTGGCTAAGAGTGGGTCATCATTTGGAACAATCTCTTCAGACAGAAGGCTCAGGGCACCTGTAGGTTTGAGAAAATGTCACCTGTACATTCAACAGCAAAGCTCAAAAAAAATATTCATTTCAGAAAATAGTCTCTGTCACATGAAATAAAGTTCAGTGTGCCCAAAAGTTTGAGAAAGTCATGTGCATAACACTCTTGACATCCTTAATGACAAAACTGACATGCCGCAAGACAATGACATGGTTTTGACATTTCTATCACATTTTAAAGGTTTTCATTTGAAACCCCTCGTACAGGCAGTAATGAAATGACAGTAATGATCCAACTAGTTTACAGGCCAAAGAGTTTTTTACAAAGATACACACATGGGTAAAGACACTGGAACGATATATCATTGTACAGACTGGGTTCCACGTCTAGCTAATGGTCCAAGGGTGGCCATAGCTCACTGCAGATATAAAGTCTCATCACTGGTCTTGCTTACTTCACTGGTTTCTGTGCTTGAAGAGTGGAAGGAACATTCTGCAACACAGTATCTTTGAAGATGGTAATTGTGCTATGTCTGCCTGTTGCATGCCAGTTCACATATCCCCAGCATAATGCCAAAATCACCATAGTGCTAAATCCTTGTTTCAAGAAAACTGCATTTCAATGCAGATGAGATGAAATTGTGTAGTGTGGAAAGTAATACTTGATTCTAATTTATTTGGGAAGGGAATTCACATGTGTGTCTTTGACAAATTATAAAGTGACAAATAACAGACCTTAAAATGCACTAAGTTGAAATTACCATATTTGCACTTAGGTGACATTTGGTGTTGTGAGCTAGTCGTACAGCAGCTGACAATGCAAATTTATACTCGAAGAACTAAATAACATTTACATTCATAGCTAAACTGTTGGCCAAGAGAAGCATTGGTGCAAGTCAAATTTTATGGAAAATATAGAAAAATATAGATATAGAAAATCTATTTCAAGCGAACGAAAGAAGAAGAAGAAGATTTACATTCATTAATAGTAAACACCACTACATCAGAGTGGAAGTGTAAGGTACATAAATAACCATCCGTGAAAGGGTCAAGGCTATGAATGAATGAATAACTGAATTAATTAATCAATGAGCAGAGGAATGAATGAACAACTGAATGAATATTCAATAAATGAATCAAACAGTTAGATGTTTCCTCCACAATGGAGGCTGGTTGCAGTGGATCTCCAACATGCTCTATCTTTCACCCTGGCTTTACACTCCATCACTGCCATTTGTCTATCTCTTAGTGGACCAACACTTCTACTGATGTCTGCCCCTATCTCGCTTGCCTTCAACTTATCTATCCATTATGTTTTTAATAAAGTGGTACATCATTTCTTCCTCCTCCCTTGATGTAAACTCCAACAGAAATGTTTTTTTAAATTTTTTATTTTGAATGTTTTTTTCTCTCGAGGCTGAGTGTTTAGGGTACATTCGTTTTACAGATATGACTTATTTGTATGCAGACTGTTGGTTCTTTGCCTCTCAGGCAGATGCACTCAGACTCTGAAGCGAACCGCCAATTAGTCGACTCTTACAACATGCTTGCTAGGAGGCTGCAGGTCTATTCTTGTTTTCCCCACAATGGGACCCTGGAACCCACAATGTGGCCCTTGAACCCACAATGGGGCCCTGAAACCCACATGAGGCCCTGAAACCCACATTGGGAGTGTTATGTCATTTAATAATGAAAAAATATTTTACAGAAAGAACAAATTATTAAATAAATATATAAGACAATGAAATACACAAGGGGCCCTTACCCTGAAGCACAGAAGAATCCCTGAGTTCCCTGCCCCTGAGAAAGTTTTCAGTCTGTCCTGCATGCACCTGGCAATCAACAATATTTTTCAACAACAGTAATCTGTGCTAGATAAATTATAAAAATCAGCCCAGTGAAGTCTTCCAAAAACACCCACATGCTTTGAGATAACGATGAAGGCCAAGAACTCCAAAACCTTCATGCTTGTAGGCAAGAGTCTAGCCACTGTGCCATCAGGGCTACCAGACCCAGAACTTAGCAGCAGGAGCATTACCACTCACGTAGGCAAACAAGTGTCACTAGGGACCATGGAGTTGTGACGCTGGTTTTGGGAAGAGCGTCTGCTATGACCGTAAAGCCTAAACAACGTGGGAGTGACAATCTCTGGCCCATGGTTCACATAAAAACATTGATACTCTAGTATAGTGAGGCTGGTTTTCTCTCAGACTTCTTCCCTATATAGTATACTGTGCTAAGCATCTTCACTGTCTGCCTTCAGAGCAGTTGGTCTGCAGCTGATCTCTCCCATGTGTCACGACTAACTGTTACAGAACAATGTGAAACAATGTGGGTTATAGATCTCTTGCTCAGGCAGTTATGATGTAGTGCAAAGACCACTTTATCTCTGTTACAAGTCATATCTCCTGACATGAGACAATAGGAAAACATAAGAAACATTTTAAGTAACAAGAAACAGATAGTATGTGATCAATTTTTTATCATGAATCATAAATATCATACATTTTGTTACTTTTCTTATATGTGGTTGGAATTTGTTAAAAGTCTGTCTATACCAGTTGCTACTTTCAATAAGTTTTAAATCAATAGCCATTAATTCTTTAAATGGGCACCTGCTGTGACACATTCTGGGGCTGAAGGAGTTAACCAGACACTTGCCTGTTTGAATAACACATATTTATAATTTGCGCTTGGCTCATAAACAGCATCCTATCTTGAAAGAAGAGGTATTTGGCCAGGTTAAATGTCACGGAATCCCGGTGAGAACGGTGATGGAGGAAGCTTCCAGAAAACGAGACAGAGGTAAACCTCCATGAATGTGGATACAAGACAATAAAGATGCATTAGCTATGAAAGCACATAGAGCTGGAGAATTGGCTGGAGAAAGACCTTATGGCATGCCGTGATGAGAGGGATGTGCCGTGATGAGAGTGACATGCCGTGATGAGAGCCTTGTGCCGTGATAAGAGCGACGTTCTTGTAAGGACTTGCTCATTGATACTGATGATACTGATAACATGCACTAACCAGCTGACCATTGATGCCTTGTATAACAATTGTAGGCTTTTCCTTGACCAGATAGTTGTTACTTGCATCCACTCGAAAGTTGAAGCCAGAGGTCACATGAGCATGGCACAGCTGTGGATGGAAAAAAAAAACCCACAGAAAACATCAGAACAAAACGGAATACATGTGAGTGAGTTAGCAACTTGTATATTCTTATTTCTTAAATACACACATACATTGTATTGTCCCTTAACTTATTCGATACAAAGCAGTGCACCATACGTGTGTTAGTTACTCCTTACATCAGATACTTTTGTTAACTCTGCATGCCTCATCTTGTTTAACTCTTTCCGCCCAGTATGGTTATTTAAATCAATCAATTTTCTTATTCCCAGCTTATCAAATCAGTGACAGGGTCGTCCATTGGCTCACTGGTAGAGGACTTTGTCGCTGGTCAGGACAGTATCTGGGTCTGTCTCCTTTGATGGCATCAACAATGCAGGAGTCCTTTTCAGGACTCTTGGTAGCATGCAATGCTAAGCCATTTTATATGCCGCAAATAACCTAGTCATAATTATAACCTAAAGCTCCCCATTCAGGGAGGCTGGTTGAGCCTGATGAGGTTTTCCTTTTTTTTTTTTTTTTTTTAATGAAGCAAAGCACTGGCATTGCAGCTTTGATGACTATCAAATAACATGAGTTAAAGTTACAGCTTCTTGAGACTGAAAGATTTAATATTCCTCACATTTATCTGTCTCCAGTATCTTGCATTATCTCTTGCAGATCACTGCCCACACAAATACTGTGTGTGCTTACAACATATCATTATTATCCACTGTCTTGTCCATTTGCATAGGCAAGCTCTACATCTCTTGATTTTTAATAGAATGTATCAATTCAAGTAATAATATATTTAAATGAAATTATTTTAAAAAAAACATGGCAATCCAGACTCTTCTGTTTTTATATATATATATATATATATATATATATATATATATATATATATACATTCATCATTATCATCTTCATTCAGAAAAGGAAACAGGGAGGGAAGGGGATGGTTTAAAGAAGGCTATTTAATTAAGTTTACTCAGGTCCAAAGGTCGGACATGGGGATCGTAACGGGACAGAGGTCTTGGCCCCAAAATAGAAAGATCATTAATACAATGATCCGGGGGCCAACTGCCAGGCCTCTGTGAGCCGTATTCAACCTGCAGACCACCAGCTGAATAGCCCTGGTTTACAGGGTAGCACTAGATACTGATATTCAAAGTGAATGTGCAATATCTTTAACATCATCAATCCATATTCTCCTTGGGCTCTTTCTTGCTCTCACACCTAATCTTTTTAGGTCTGGTGCCATTGTTGGTAGCCATCGGGGCCATAATTTAACCAGATGACCAAATCATTTGATCTTCTGCTAGTCAATCAATTTGGTGAAAGATGTGGCTGCTACAATCCTGTTTTATTTCAATCATCCACAGTATTACAGTGCTGAAGTTTTTCTCTTTGTATAAATGTGGTTAAAAATGAATTGTTGACCGCCTATTTCTGATGTCGGAAGCCACCATGGTGTAGTGGCTAGATGCTAGCCTGCAAATTGGAAGGTCGTGGGTTCGGTTCCTGATGGAGCTGGGCATTTTTTCAAAAAATGACCATGCCTCCTAGGTTGACATAGCCTTAAATGTTTACCAGGGGCAGTCATGGGAAGTAAAGGCAGCCAGCATGATAGTGACCAGATCACCCACAAAGTGCTGATCGGTCTATAAAATATAGGTCTAGCCCTATATGCCGGAAATGCTTGAAAGTGTGTAAGAGGGTCTTTACTTTACTTTTTATTTCTGATGTTTGTGATACTTTTCACTGTTGCATCTATCAGCAGACTTTAGATTATTTATTCCATGATCTTTACAATAAATAAATAATTTAAAGAAAAAAAACTATATATCCTCCATACCTGCAGTCTGTGGGAAGTCTTGAATGTCCTCAGGAAAACATCAGAGGTGTTGTACTTGGGCAGCTGCATAGACACAATGACCTTGCCCTCCAGATCTAAAGACAGGAAGTCTGTCAGAGTGTACTGCTTACTCTCTCCACAACCATTGACTGAAAAATTAAAAAAAAATTTTTTAAACATAAAGCAGAAATGTGTTTCAGCCTTACACATAAATACTGATGCTCTCCATGTTGGTTTCTTGGAACCCATCCTGAAAAGGAGGGGGCAGGTGGAGATATTGCTTTAAAATTCAGTTTTTATCAAAGTTTAGATTATACAGACAACAGCTGCCAAAGATTATATACCCTAACCTCATATCCTGAGTTTAGCTGAGTTAAGAATTGACACCTCCGGAGGTGGGACATTCCCACAAGCCCTCCGTCTTCATTTTCAGCAGTCAGTAAAGAGTTCTAAAGCCGATAGCACCAGTAGCAGTTTGATAATATGTCTGCCTTGCCTTTCCTCTGAGTACCCTCACTCCCAAGCACCTCTCTCCCTTTCTGGTACAGATGTTCCACTTACTATATTTAGTGCCCCTGTATCTACTTGCAAACTACTACCTCACCTTCTCTTACAACTAGCGACCTCCAAGTTCAAAGGAAAGAAAGAGAATGAGAATGATTTACCAACAGTCACTAGTGTGCCCACAGTTTCCAGGAGGGTGAAGACATCAGAGGTAAAATCATTGTACTGATTCTTCAAAGCCAGGTTTCCTGCCCAAGAGCTCATCTGAAAACAAATTTAAATTAACTGGGTTTGGTATTTGTTATTTACTGTTTTTACTTTCACACAAATTTATCAACAATAAATAAACTCGTATGCTTTACAAACAATTTTATAAAAGTTTGAAGTAAATTACAGTAATCAGGCAGTTGCTCCGAGCCTGTGCCAACAGAAACCATAAGAATGTCCACCACTGTCCCTTGTGACAAAAACGTATACAGACTGCAGCCTCAGCAAATCCAGTAGCATACATATGCATCAAATTAACAAGGCAGCCATCGTGAGTGCCAACATAGTCAGTCCCACACTAGAAATGTAGTTCAGCCTCGATGGATGCAGCAATTAGAATAAACAAGTAGTTGCAGAAGAAATTAATCACTTAAGGCACCACGTTATCTGGTAACAGGTCATCAAATGGAATCTGCAGCTCAAAGTGTCACACCACACTCAGCTGAGTGGCTGGGCGATGAAACTATATCCTTTCAGTCCACATACGGAGGAAAATGCAATGGCTAACTATTTTTAAAAGCAAAAACTTTCCATGATTTAAAAAAAAAACTTAGCCCTCCTATTCAACACACTGACTAGAAGTCAAACTAAAGTGGTCAACTTAAAGTAAATCAAGTAAAATAAAAGACCTGTTTGCACATCTTGAAATGGACTGAGCATTAAGGGACAGCCTAATAGTTGACAGACCCCTTAGCACTCAATGCGCTATACAATAAATATCACTAAGGCAATCTTAACATCCAAGAACATCTCTTGATAACCTTTCAAGCTGGGTCACCCGAGGAGACCAAGTAAATTGTTAATATCCATTTAGATGAGGATTTGAACACATGACCCCCAATGGCAGCAGACGAGCAAACTAGACACTGGGCTGCAACAGCTTGGAAAATAATCAGGAAGGGATCTTCCTCTTCTCAGCGCTCCCTGGCTGTAAACTCAGGTGGAAAGTTCTGGTTGTTCATCCATTTCTGGACTTTTGATCGCACAACCTTTCTACATTACTGGCTTACTTGTATGCAGACTGATGGTTCCTTATCTCTCAGGAACATATTAGCTAAAAATTGCATAAAAATAGCATTCTCTACAGGCCATAATAATCTGTGTCTCTTCTGACTACATTACTAGTTCCCAGAGGACCTTGACCACATCTGCCTTGTCATGTATCAGTTCACCACACAGTGGTGCAGATCCAGCCAATCTGTCTGCCTGTTCATTCCTCACCACGTCGACATGGCCTGGTGAAAAGATACAAAGTATGCTATCTACCTGTGACCTTCCAGGTGAAGCTTGCCACTCTGCTCAAAGCATGCTTTCAGAGTCTGTTACAATTACGACGTGTGTATGCATCTTCTTCTCTGGCCATCAGAAAGCTGCAGTAATCACTCTACCTCCATTCTCATGCTAGATGTTGTGGTGTCGAATGCTAGACTGTCCTGCACTAAAGATTTTCCACTGGCTTTTGCTACAAACCCTCAGGCACTTCTCCTCATCTGGACAAGAACTGTTGTCAATCAACTGTTGCACTTCCACCTCCGTAGCTCCCGCTGACCAAAAAAAAAAGGTGCTATGTGAAAATAGCTGCAGTGTATTCTTTTTTAAAGAATTTTATTCTAGTAATATAAAATGATCTGCTATTGTAGCTAGAACACTGGTATATTGAGTGCCATATAGCAATGAACACTCACATTTCTGATGCTAGAAGATGAAACATGTCCCAGATGAGTCACAAAGACATTAGCATAAGGCAATCCAGGATCTGTAGTCTTCTCAAAAGCTTCTTTCAGTGCAGTTAAAGATACATTAGCCCCAAAGACGATGTGGTCATTCGGGCTCAACTGAAGAATGAAAACAATTCTAGTAGACATGGTTGTCAATAATGTCAAATAACAGATAGCAGATATGTGTTGTAGATTATATGCAACTGTGGCCTTTTGGTGAAGCACAGAACAGTAACAATATAACCACCCATGCATGTTATGAGGGGCAACTAAGGAAGGATGATATGATACTAGCCACCTCTTTCCATAGAAAACTTCAGCTTCAAATCCACCCAATCATGAACAGTACACTTTGCTTGAGTTAGTGAAAGTTCTGTGCTCCACCAGGGAGGGTTGCAAAGTAGAAGAAGAAGAATAAGAAGAAGAGCCAAAAAAAAAAAGAAAAAGAAGAAGAATAAGAAGAAGAACAAGAAAAAGAAGAAGAAGAAACATATGTTGTCACTTTTTATTAAATCTTTATGAGAACCTTGTGCCTATTAAATTACATTTGTAAAGCATTGCTAGCTCATTGGTCATAAAAACTGGTGAAAATAAAGACATGCCTGCATGTCTCGAAATGTCATTATATTTGTGGATTTCATTAGTATAGATAGGATAATTTTATGGAGCAACCCTTAAGACATCTGATGCAGAAGCCAAGCATCTGAGTATGTCCAGTGTGCCACAATGTTATTTCTCAAATCAATAACAAATTTGTTATTGAAATAAAACAGCATTTTCTGACAAAACTAATAATCCATTGAAAGACTACCAACTGGACATCATATTAAAGGGCAACCAAATAAATAATCTGATTAGATCAAATTAGGCTGGCAATCTACTAAAGCACAATTTATTTAGTAATCTATACAAGGCAACAGAATAAGGCAATATAGTACAGACAAGCTAGGCCGAAGGAGACGGTAAGGAGAAAAAGGATGAAATAGAGAATAAACAAGGCAATGAGAGATGGCGGAGGAAAAAAGGCAGAAGAATGAAGAGACAGATATAAAATAAAAATAAAAAATACGAGATACTAATGATCAGTCTAATTATACCAGTCTTCCGTTTTTCCAGTCCTTAGGATTAAATAACTTTCACAGAAATAATATCCACTGAACTGTGACAAAGAAGCTTAATGAAGTGGGTAAAGGAAGCAATATATATACACACACAAATCTGATGTTTCAGTCAAAACCTTTCTCAACAAAAACCACAACACCAACAAGGGGCGGAGTTCAGTGGATTAATTTGTTGGTAGTGGAATTATTTGTTGATACTAGCCTGATACGGTCATCCCAGTTTTCATCACAGAAATAACTTGAGAAAAAAACTCTTTTTTAAATATAAAAACATCAAATGGAATGAAGCAGTTACATCAGTTATATACAGCTCCTGGACACCTCGGATGTCAATGAGAACTTTGAAGTTCCATGGACCCACTTGTCTAAACACACCTGGAACAATATACAACATCAATCAGTCAGTAAAGTGTAACTCTGACTTCAAGTAAAGTCTAGGTCATCATCATCGTCATCATCAGGTGCCTTGCCGACTGGCATGGGCGATCATGCCTCTCCATAATCTGCGATCTCCTGCAGCATGTATCAGTTTGTGTGCTGACACACCTCCATGCCATGCAACAAGACTGTCAAGCATCTTCTCTCGTTGTCTTCCTCTATTCCTCCTTTCACAGATCTTTCCAGTGGTCACAACATGTTCTATTTTCCCTCTTCTCATAACATGGCTGAAAAATGATGACTGTCTCCTTCTGATGTCTGTGATAAGTTGTCTTCGGGCCCCCGCCTCTTTCAAAACCTCTTGGTTGCTGTTTTTGGCTGTCCAAAGTATTCTAAGCATTCTTCTGTTAAACCACATCTATGAGGCCTCTAGAAATTGTTTGGCCCGCCTACCGTTTGTCTAGGTCAGGTGTTGTTAATATAACCTGATTAGTCTCTAAGTTTTGAAGCCGGCATCCGGCTGTAAATTAGCCATATTGCACAGGTTCCCAACCTATGTGTCATGACCCTAATTGGAGTCGTGAAAGGTTTTCAAGGCGGTTGCCAAGCAGCGTTGAGCTATGACATTTTTAAACAGGAAAACTATAAAAAAAATCAAACACACAGAGATCTGTTTGTGGAATGTTGGAAAGTTGCTTCTTTTTTGACTGGTGAATACACAGTAATACATAATACTGAAAAATCTATTTTCAATGTGTTTTCATTTACCCTATTAAAAAGCCAGTTTTTTACGTATGGGGTTTCCATTGCTTCTACAAAAGGAGATCAAGACTCGAAAAAAGGTTGAGAACCGTTGCCATATGGAGTGTAAAAGGGTTCCTTACTTTCTCTCTTACCCATAAAATGTAAACAGGCCCTAAATAGAGCCAGCACTAGATACTTCTTCTTCTGCTTCACCTTTAACAGGGCCATTAGTACGTTGTGTTGTGGTTGACAGTCAGGCAGCGACATCTACACCTTTCAGCCCAGCATATTTAATTTCAGCATACCCCTAATTAGCCGGTTTCCACAACCTGCCTTGCGTATGTTTTAAAAGTTGCATCAACAGTTCACCATTCACAAAGATATCACAAACCCAATGCACAGCAAGCAATGGCAAACTACAGAATGTTAAATTGCCTAGTGAAATCATAATAGGCTAAAAAAAATGGTGCAGTTGGCTTTGCAACGTCATGTAAAATATACGCTACTAATTTTATTTTTTAAAAGTTTTTTAGGGGGCAGTGACTAAACCCCCCCCCCACCCCTGCCCCCAAACCTCCTCGAAATTAGGCCCTGAAACCCACCTGGGGAAGTATCTAAAATATTTTATAGCAAGAAAATTGGTTTCTTTATTTTACTAATTGTAGTCAGCAAAACAAACACTAAATAAGCAAAGTTCTAAAAGTTCACATATTATTTATCATCATAATCATTGTCAGGTTGTGCCATTTTATGCCAGATAGGACTAGCACATAATCTATTTCTCCATTCGGTTCTACCCGGTGCAATCCCTTCAAAATCACACACAGAATCCAGTCCAGCACCTTTGGCCTCTCTCATCAAAGTGGTTTTCCTTTGGGCGCCCTCACTTCCCCTATCTTTTTATTCCCCACTTAAGTGCCTGTTTGGTGATCCTCTGCTTGCTTCTTTTAAGGATATGTCCTAAACAGCACCGTTTTTTCCTTTGTCCTATTACTGTTGTTACCAGTAGTTACCTAGATATTTCGCTTATTTCTTGGAAGTTTGGAATCTGAACAATGGACCAACATCATGGCACATAGGTAGTAAACCATAAGTGCTCAATTTTTCTTCTAACCCAAGTCTGAGTCCGAAGAAGCACAGCACAATTCAAACTTCAAACTTCTCTTATTTCTTCACCCCTCTTGAATTAATCATACTTTATGTTCAACGTTTTCCTCAGGAATTTATTTTACAACACTTTTAACTTTTGTTTCATATCATTAGTGGTTCTCTTACTTTCACTGGCATAGGTTAAAACTAAAATAACATTAGAAGTAAAAATAAGTAACTTGATTTCAGAACTATACAATTTAGAGTGCCATATTTTTTGCTGATGCGTTTCATAATTTCTCTTTTAGTATTTCACTGACTATCAAATTACTACCTAAATAAGTAAACTGATCTGTTGCTTTAATTCTTCTCTGTCTCTAGTGTTGTTTCTGCTTGTATTCTTGTCTTTTCATAACTTATCTGTAGTCCTACAACTTTTGTATCCATGTTATCTGCCATTCTCCCTACATGCCCCAACCACTGCATTATATTAGCCCTCGTGATGCCAGTCTTCTTCTTTGATCCTTCTGTCAGAAAACTTATATCAGAAGGCCGGTAGCCTTTATGAAAGCTATCGTGCAATCCAAATCCTCTCATGACGTCCTGAATTAAATACCTAATTACTACACTTATCTGAGTCAGAGACTTGATCAATGAATTTATAAAACCATGAAAGGAAGCAGGCACCAAACACATACAAGACGAACCAGATAACAAACTGTGTGGACAGACTTACCAAAGCCTGTGTTTCCATAAACTAATCTGTATGGTTGTCCAGCGTACAGCTTCAACAAGTTGCATAGCTCTGGAAGGGTCACTGGCTTAAACCACTGGGCCTGAGCAGTCACAATGTGCAGGGGTTTGGACACACGGCTCCTGCAACCTGCATCATCACTGGTCAGGTCTTGGCTTCTGCAGCTTGCGTCATCACTGGTCTGATTTTGTCTTCTGCACTGACCGACACAAGCTTTGCCTGTTTTCTTGCAAAGTTTTCCATCCAGTTCCTATTAACAATAATTAAATATGTTGCAGTCACAGCAACAAACAACATTTGTCTCAAACAACATTTGCACTGATATGTTACATAATAATGTAATGATAAGACTGCTATAATAGAGACTGCTTGTTATGTTACATACACATATACATATATATATATATATATATATATATATATATATATATATATATATATATATATATATATATATATATATATATATATATATATATAAGGTCAAGTCAATGTGTAGAGATTACAAGTTTCCCTGTCAAGGTTTGTCACTGATCAATAAGATCTAGTTTAACTGACAAAGTAAAACAATGACTGACTGTCCTGTCAGTCACTGTCATGCCAGAATGAATAATATGACTGTTAAAACAGGACAGTATTGATTGAAAATGCAATCAGTGATTGATAGGACAGTTTTTTTTTTTCATTTTTAAATAATTTTTTTGTTGTTGACAGGTAAGTAAATGCCAAGACAACTGTTGTTTGTCAACATCTACAATTTCTTATAATTTTATGAAATAGGTGTCCTAATTTCTAATTACCATCTACACATCATATATAATAAGAATATTCATAAACAAAAACATAAACTCATGACACTGCCAAAACTGCCATTGCTATCTTCTTTACCACGTGTGTGTTGTAAGCGAGGGAGTCTTTGAGCCTGAGGTTTTAGGGGAAAATGGCTAGGGCTGTCGCCACAACAGTGCAGGTTAGGATTTCATTTCTTCCCTCAACAGAAAAAAAAACCAGAACCTTACAGAGTATTCAAACCTTGGTCTTCCACATGAAAGCCCAGTGTTTTTAACTGTTTGACCAGTGGCTCCTCACTCACAAATGTGGATAAACAAAACCAGAAACATGGAATTCCATCCAGCTAAAGAATATCCAGTTTGTGTTCTAGCCTAAATATGGCAATACCTCAATGTCAATGATTCCTCCTTTCTCCCTGAGAGAAGCTGGGGCGTCGGAAGCAAATGATTTCATGGCATCCAGAATGGGTCTATAACCTGTAGAAATCATACAGGAAATTATTCTTGCTTTAACTCTTCTAATACCAAGGGAGTGTTATATTAAACAGCCCTATTCTTTCGATGAATTAAGTTAACTCTTTGAGTCCCAGGGGGTTTAGCATCAGAGGACCAAGGGGTAGTCAAGAGAGACGTAAAATCGGAACTTCTTGCGTTCATCGGGCCTCTAGGTAGGAACCTATGTACGTATGATGTGTTCCTTGGGACTCAAAGAGTTACGTAATCAGAATTTAGGATCAAAGTGTAAAGATATAGCACTATGGGACAGAATAAGGTAAGTTGTGGCTTTTTCTGGCCAGTAATTATTTCAAGTGGCCATACATGTATCATTCGACTCTCAAGGAGATATAATGAAGGAAATTATGATATGCATTGGCAAAGCAACAATAGTCTTTAAAAGCCTTAACTAATTATGGAGCTCCAACTTATACAGCTTTAAGATCAAACTGCGAACCTTCAGTTCTAACATTATTTCAGTTCTGACATCTGCCAGACAAAGTTGGAGAACCACCAAAGTTATGGAAGGAAAAACTAAACGCATTTGAAAATAAATGAGAAAAATCATGAACATAAAATTGGATGAATTAAAAAAATTAGTGAAGAGATCAGAGAAATTCTGGACAAATACCTGTATTGGCTGCAATAAGACAAAAAGGGTGGAGATGTATTGGGCACACTCTCAGATGAAATGAGCAAAGGATTACAAAACAAGCACTGAAATTGGAAACATACGGTCTGAGGGGGAAAAAAAAGACGTCCAATGGAAACATTCAGAAAAACATTATTACGAGAGGCTAGAAATGCTGGGCTGAACTCAATGTCAGAAATCTAGAGAGTTGCATGCAGTAGAGCGGAGTGGAGGAATGGAATGCCAGCACTGCTGCTGTAAGTGCCAACACCAGTCATGTCCGTAACACTAACCATCAGCTTCAACATTACAAATCTTTATCTTCAACATCAGTCATGTCCGTAACACTAACCATTAACTTCAACATTACAAATCTTTATCTTCAACACCAGTCATGTCCGTAACACTAACTATCAACTTCAACATTACAAATCTTTATCTTCAACATCAGTCATGTCCGTAACACTAACCATCAACTTCAACATTACAAATCTTTATCTTCAACACCAGTCATGTCCGTAACACTAACTATCAACTTCAACATTACAAATCTTTATCTTCAACATCAGTCATGTCCGTAACACTAACCATCAACTTCAACATTACAAATCTTTATCTTCAACATCAGTCATTAACCTAACAATAATCTGCATCAACCTTTATCATGACAACAAGCACTATATATCGTTATCATGAAAATAATCCCAATTAATCATTAAGATGATAATAATCAGAATCATACATTAGTAAGACAAAAATTACCATCAATCATTATTATGACAATAAATACGATCAATCATTATCATTAAAAAAATATCCATCTATCTTTAGCATTAAAAAAATATCCATCTATCTTTAGCATTAAAAAAATATCCATCTATCTTTAGCATTAAAAAAATAGTAATCAATAATTGTTATGATAATAATCACCATCAATCACTACCAAGACATTTGTCCCCATCAATCATTATTGAGACAATAATCACTAACAATCATTAGCATGACAATAATTACCATCAATCATTATCATGCAATAATCATGATTAATCATTATCATGACAATAATCTAAATCAATCATTATCATGACAATAATCACAATCTACCATTATTATGAAAATAATCCCAATTAATCATTATCATGACAACAATCCCTTTAAATCATTATCATGGCAATAATCACCATCAATCATTTTTATGACAAGTCACCATCAATCATTATCAAGACAATAATCCCCATCAATCCTTATCATGGCAATAATCACTATCGATAATTATCATGACAATAATCTGCATAAATCATTATCATGACAATAATCATCATCAATCATTATCCTGAAAATAAGAGAAAAAAGAGACTGTGAGATTGTGAGACTGTAAGACTGTGAGACTGTGAGATTGTGAGACTGTGAGATTGTGAGACTGTGAGATTGTGAGACTGTGAGATTGTGAGACTATGAGACTGAGATTGTAAGACTGTGAGACTGTGAGATTGTGAGACTGTGAGACTGTGAGATTGTGAGACTGTGAGACTGTGAGACTGTGAGATTGTGGGACTGTGAGACTGTGAGATTGTGAGACTGTGAGATTGTGAGACTGTGAGATGGTGAGACTGTGAGACTGTGAGATTGTGAGATTGTGAGACTGTGAGACTGTGCTAGGACAACAACAACGCCTGTATAGGACCTGCTGACTGATGATGACTGACATTCCGTGGGCAATAAGGATAACATAATGCAGACGCCTTTACCTCTTTACCTGGTAAACATTTTAGGCTTGGCAGACCTAAAAGGAGAGGTCATTTACTAATCTAAGTCTGCCTAAAAAAGGATCTGAACCTATGACTGCAAGGCAAGTGTGCTACACTCTCTACTGCCCAATATTGGCTTTATAAGAATACCGATGAATAAAGAATCCCTGTGATATAATATCCCATGAATAGTGCTGAGATATCTACCTTAATGAGTATGCACAGGATCTTAGAGATGGGCTTGGTCCTGTCGCGTGCGAATGTGCACCAGAACGCACCAGTACGGAGTGAGCAAATAAGACGTCAAAACAATACGTAACGTTGTTATGATTTATTGTTGTAAAAGCAGTTGATGTTTATAGTCCGAAGGAGACGGACGTGGGAATCCTTGAGGACGCTTTACCCCGGGATCCCACGGAAGCAAACGTTATATAAAGTTGGATCCTTGAGGACGTTTTACCCCGGGACTCCAAGACCTCAGCAGGAAGCTGGTGAGCACTACATTCTCGGCAGCAAGCCGGTATACTTTCATTGCTTAATTCGGACTTGTCCGAGGACCAAGATGATTGTCATGATCTCAAGGTCGGACTGCGACCTATCGTAAGGACATATCCATCCATGGATGTACGAGTGAGCTTTGGTTGAACGAGTTGATTATTGATTGCATACGTATTCTTGTGTTGATCATTGCTGATTGTATATATCAATACAACCATTGGAACTTAACGCATAGCGTTCGAGCTCTACATTTTGAAAGCATTGAAGTAACTACTGTTTTACCCCTACTTGGCCTATTTCATCTTGGTACCACACACTCAGCATGAAGCTCTGCACGTCCCAATGAAGGTCCGCACGTATCAGGTCCTAAGAGAGAGGTAGGTGACCCTGAAGGGATCAGAAATGACAAATAACAGCTTCGGTTTAATGCCAGGGGACACAGGCAGGCAAGGAAATGAGTAAGCTGATAGGCTTGCAGGTAAGACTACTGTGGAGGGTGGACAAGCCATGAAGAGTGCTCTAAGAAAAGCAAGAGAACCAAGTGAGGACTGTGAATCTGCAATTATGACAATACTGCAAGAACAGCCTGTTTAATGGATGTAGTCAGGCAAGAGCACTATGCAGGAGTCAAAAATAAAATTTAAAAAGCCAACACAAAACTGGTTTCTTCAGCTGCTAAACACTGCAGAATTCACTGAGGAGGTGATATGAGCAGGTATGGACTCACTAGTTCAATGTGCAGTGAGGATAATCTGTTGACTAACTAACCAAGACCTACCTGTACATCTACATATTGTTGTATCAAAGGCATCCTCTACTTCCTGCATTGTTGGCTGTGGGTTATTCTGTAATATTCTGTAATACATGTACAAATGAAATGGAGACAATAAAAAGTTTTGCTAATTACAGAGAAAGTGAAGATTTTCAATGAAATTAAAAAATCAATTAACATAAGCTGGGGCACATAAGTTGAGTTTTCAGACCTCAAATATTATAACACAACTACAAGAAAGAGATAGAAAATGTTTTTTGGTTGTGAAATGAGAACTGATAAGTGGGAAATATTGTGATGACTTTTACAGATCAGCAGCAGAAGATGCAAAGCACAGCAAGAGAAACTACACTAGATGTTCTATGCAAAGCACACCAAGAGAAACTATGCCAGATGTTCTAAGCAAAGCACACCAAGAGAAACTATGCCAGATGTTCTAAGCAAAGCACACCAAGAGAAACTATGCCAGATGTTCTAAGCAAAGCACACCAAGAGAAACTTTGCCAGATGTTCTAAGCAAAGCACACCAAGAGAAACTATGCTAGATGTTCTAAGCAAAGCACACCAAGAGAACCTATGCTAGATGTTCTAAGCAAAGCACACCAAGAGAAACTATGCTAGATGTTCTAAGCAAAGCACACCAAGAGAAACTATGCCAGATGTTCTAAGCAAAGCACACCAAGAGAAACTATGCTAGATGTTCTAAGCAAAGCACACCAAGAGAAACTATGCCAGATGTTCTAAGCAAAGCACACCAAAGGAAACTGTGACAGATGTTCTAAGCAAAGCACACCAAGAGAAACTATGCTAAATGTTCAAAGCAAAGCACACCAAGAGAAACTATGCTAGATGTTCTAAGCAAAGCACACCAAGAGAAACTATGCCAGATGTTCTAAGCAAAGCACACCAAGAGAAACTATGCCAGATGTTCTAAGCAAAGCACACCAAGAGAAACTATGCTAGATGTTCTAAGCAAAGCACACCAAGAGAAACTATGCCAGATGTTCTAAGCAAAGCACACCAAAAGAAACTATGCTAGATGTTCTAAGCAAAGCACACCAAGAGAAACTATGCCAGATGTTCTAAGCAAAGCACACCAAAAGAAACTGTGACAGATGTTCTAAGCAAAGCACACCAAAAGAAACTGTGACAGATGTTCTAAGCAAAGCACACCAAGAGAAACTGCGCTAGATGTTCTAAGCAAAGCACACCAAGAGAAACTACGCTAGGTGTTCTAAGCAAAGCACACCAAGAGAAACAACGCTAGATGTTCAAAGCAAAGCACACCAAGAGAAACTATGCTAGATGTTCAAAGCAAAGCACACCAAGAGATACTATGCTAGATGTTCAAAGCAAAGCACACCAAGAGAAACTATGCTAGATGTTTAAAGACGATGGCATGAAAAATATCTTCAGCAGAATTAAAAAGGACCAAAAGCTGTGTAGAGACATGGAGGTCTATGCCATTCTGCAAAAATCATGATGATTATGTCACCAGAAAAATCAGAAAGATAAGACTTTGCTCACAGGAAAACAAATCAAACAAAAAATCTGATTTACCAAGTCTCAATGTGGAAGTGTTTTACTCAGGACAATCCCATAAGAAGGTAAAGGTAAAGTCGGGAGATGTGAACCAGCGTCATTGCACATGGTTATAAACCATAACTGCTCTGCCACCAGTACGGACAGCTGATAAGAAATAGTCCGCATGTGTCGCTGTCCGCACGTAACTCTGTAGCTACAGCGACGTTCCTCCATTTGCCCCAGAGTGTCAGCTCTGCTACCCATTTCCTAGAGGCTGGGTGAACCCCAGGAGCCACCCGGTTTTTAACACTGACCGTGGCTGCAGCAAGTTGACGTTGGATTTGAAAGCGAGCCTCGTATCGACTGTGCTAACGCGGCCCCACAAGAATTGCTGCCAGCAGGATTCGAACCTGCGCGGGTATAACCCATTGGATTTCAAGTCCAACGCCTTAACCACTCGGCCATCACAGCTGGATGAGAAGGCAACTGTGGAGGGCTGACAAGCAAGAGACCGAGCTGATATACTGAATGGTCTGTGAGAAGTAAGATCTTTGCACAAAACATGGACTGCAACCATGATCAGACTGAAAGAACAGCAAGTTAAAGGGGTGTGGCCACAGCATTATGTTGGAAACCAAAGAAGAACATTAAATTAAAACAGAACTGGTGTTGTCAGCCGCTTTGAGCTGTATGATTTATTATGGAATAAATAATTGGATGTGCAATGAGAATGATCAGTCAAAAAACTACAGTTTGTCTATATTATAATAAGACAGAAGACTTGCTATTTTTCTGCTTTCATACATAAACAAGCATAAACTATAGTTTAAAAACAAATGACATATGACCTACCCATACATATTCATGACCTGACCAGGTGTGCAGTAACCACACTGGATTCCATCGAAGCTGGCCAATCGTTCTTGAATGGGATGTAGGCCAGCTCTTGTGTCACCTAGACCCTCGATTGTGGTGACTTCCAGACCATCACACGTGTACAGTTGAAGACAACACTGGCAAAATATACTAGACAGTTTTAAAATATCTTTACTTAGTGATAATGATAATATGCAGGAAGTTGGGTTTTTTCTTTTTAAAAAAAGGTGCTGGTATCATAAGGTGTCCCAGCAAAAAGTGCTAGTACACACAATAAAGTGTCTAATCTATTAGCGCTGAAATAAAAAGATATCTTTAACAAGGTGGCAGTACTGCGTACTATCTGAAAAAAAAAGCCCTGGTAATATAAATTAGCAAAAGGAAGACATAAATTAATACCTGAATGACATGGCCAGCTGGCATATGGGGAACTCGAATTGAAACCAAATGAGAGCCTCTAGCAATTGTGGCAGAAAAAAAAATTAATAATCATCAAGGTTTATCTGTAAGGATAATGATGATGATGATGATGATAAATAGCTTTATCATGAATTATGCAATTAGTCATTTAAAAATTTAAAAAAAATTAAAAAAAAACAATGTCAGTAGTTTGTATGAACTGGGTATGGTAACCACCAAATTAAAACTTACACACATGCCATCATTGAAACTGACTCACAGAGCATGTTGAGAAAGGTGGAGTCAGGCATGCTCTGTGCAGACTGGCAAGTATCACTTCAAAGGTACCGTGTAGTTAGCATCCTTTGGATATTTTCTCCAGGTTATGCCAGTGTGTCGGGAAATAAGCAGGTAAATAGACTAGCCGGTTCTGCACCACTTGGTGGTGAACTGATGTATGACAAGCTGGATGTTGTGAGGGCCCTTTGAGAGTGAGTGAACAGTGCCAAGGAACAGATAGATCATTACGGTCTGAGAAGAATGGCACTATGAGGAGTTACAAGGGGATCTGTCTGACGCTGGACACTCAGGGGAAAGGTAAAACGGATAAACAATCAGATGGAGACTGAGCTCTAACGGAAGTGTCCTGAGTGCTGTGATGTTTATTCTTAATTCATCATTCAAATTAAAACTTGTCTGTATGCTAATGACATGTAAGCTAAAGTTGTGAAATTATCTGATTTAAAAAAAAAGTGTTTATTTTCTAGTCACAAGATGCTAGAGAAATTTAAAACAGGAATATGTCAATAGGCTAAGGATCAGTGACAGAATAGTTGTTAGTACACTTTCTGGTCACACAGTGAACCTGATTTAATCTCCAGTGAGGGCAATATTATTGTCTCCTACCACAATGCTATGAGGTCAACACAGCCTCATCAGTTCCAGACAACTTTGTGTGCACATATAGAAAAAAAACCCAGACAAAACTATATGCCACAAAGAAAGAAATAAGAAAAAACCACAAAGACCCAATAACATTAAATATAACCGGAGCTCATGTAGTTGTGGGTGAAAGTGCTCTAAGTTTTCTATTTGTGTTCTCACTATCAAAGAAAACTGAATTTTCTGGGAATCAACCGGAAAATAAAGCCCATGATGGTGCGAACTGGCCACCACATATTTCAACTTGTAATCTAGAATATGTGAAAGCCCAAAATTTAAGCCGGTTGTAATATAGGCCTACTAGTACCTTATTTCTACAAGCCAAGATTAACTTACCGAATTGACAGCGTAGACTCTGAGTTTACTAGTCAAGGGATCCAAGTACTTGACAGTCACCAAACACACCCCACATCCGCCCTCATAACAGCAGCCTTTAGTACCCCGTGAGATCCCCTCTTTGCGCAAGAACTCCAGGAGTGAGGTCGCTGAATGGTGTTCACTGCCAACTGAGATCAATCAATGTTTACAGATTAACACTTGTTGTAGCCAGCGACCCACTATATATTTACTGCTGACTACTAACATGGTGAACTTTTCTCAACACTTTGTTCCCCGGGTATCTTTAATAATAACCCATCTTCGTCTTCTTCAGTTCCTCATTTACCGCTGTGGGTGTAAAGGGAGATATCAGGTTCTGCTTTTTTGTTCTTCTGGCCATAAAAACATTGTGCTGTTTAGGGCTTTCTCTGATGCTATCTGTCCATCTTGCTTTTAGTCTACCTTGGGGTCTACATCCCTCTCCTGTTTTGATGTATGCCTCATATGGTACAGCGTCAAAAGTCACTCTCTCTAAGTGGGCTTTGCTGTCTTTGTGTGGAGTTTAGAATTGGTTCTGTGGCAACACATCTCTCTGATAAACTTATTCCTGATTTGTATCGTTTCTGGTCATTAATGCAGTCTTTCTCAGATATATAATAAATTTTTATAGTTACTAATTTTCTTTCATAGTTTGTTGTGACTGAGGATGTAATAATACTTATAGTAATAACAATAACCTATTCTTTTCAAAATGTTACTTGCATCTCTTATGTTCCAAGTTCTGTTATTCAACTCAGCTGGACCCATTTACTACTGCAGGTAACAAATATGTAGGACTCAAGCATTCAACATAACGCCTGCCTCGGATGTAGAGTTAAAGTAATAGGAATTATAATGTATTATTTCATTTATATTTCATAGACATTAATCCCTTAGAAAAGTGAAATGAAACTTTTTAAACAACAATTTCAACAGACAATAGAATACATTTACACAAACATTACCATGATAAGGTGTTCCATTGACAGTAACAGTGATAGAAGTTGTCAGTTTGTCCAACAAGTTTTGATGTGTCTGACTAGAAGTGTTGCAATCTTTATCACCCATGATTAGGTATTTGGTCAGCACACTGTTAATATATATAATATATAACATATATAATATATAATGGATAACATCAGATGGACAATGCATAACTGAGGTAAGAAACAGAATAGGACAGGCAAAAACTGCATTTTATAAAAATAAAGAAAATCTTGTGCAATATATCCTTGTCGTTTAGAGTTAGAAAAATAATTCTTGCTTGCTACATACATCCAGTTTTAACATGTGGCTGTGAATCCTGGACAATCGGTAGGCAGGCCAAACAACTTTTTGAGGCCTCAGAGATGTGGTTTTACAGAAGAATGCTTAGAATATCTTGGACAGCCAAAAAGAGCAACCAAGAGGTTTTGAAAGAGGTGGGAGCCCGAAGACAACTTATCACAGACATCAGAAGGAGACAGTCACCATTTTTCAGCCGTGTTATGAGAAGAGGGAAAATAGAACATGTTGTGATCACTGGAAAGATCTGTGGAAGGAGGGACAGAGGAAGACAATGACAGAAGATTCTTTACAGTCTTGTTGCATGGCATGGAGGTGCGTCGGCACACGAACTGATACATACTGCAGGAGAACGTGGATTATGGAAAGGCATGATCACCCACGCCAGCAGACAAGGCACCTGATGATGATTATATATATATATATATATATATATATATATATATATATATATATATATATATATATATATATATATATATATATATATATATATATATATATATATATATATATATCATATGTATAATAAATCACGTACATTAAAAAAATATTTGATACAAGTGATGTGTAAAACACAAACCCAAGGGATAATGTTAGCTACTGGATGCTGATGTGTTTATCGAGGGGGGGGGGGGGGGGGGGGGGGGGGGGGGGGGGGGATAATCATCTATTTAAGTATATTTGAAATTGCTTATTCTTTAAAATATGTCAAGATAAATGAAAGGTGTAATCAAGAAACACCAAGCACAGTGAAGTATTCAATGGAATACATTCATATGTGTTGGGTGACTTATGTTGTGACCATATGACCTCTTTCATTGAGGATTATGGGAAAACTTGACATCTTTGAAAAAGCCATTGGAATCATAAGGAAACCCCCTTTAATGCTATTTCTGGGTACTATCTCAATATGCTGGCCTACTAAACATTAGGTAGCTGCAGATGAAACCAATGGAATTTAACTACGCTTTTGGAGAACAGGTCACTGCAGACAGGATGATATATCAGCATTTACGGGACTGTGCAACAACTCGGAGTGACTAGATTTAGTCTTCTCGGGGGAGTTAGGGAGAGTTAAATCCCATTTTTTTCTTCTTCTGAAATGCACATTTTGCTTGACATGTCCTGCATCTTCCATCTGATGCCCACAAATTGTTTGACTGCAGGGACTTGGTACTAGGACAGCTATAATAAAATGCTGGTAATGTTAAATCTCTTCTTTGCCTGCACCAGCTGTAAACTCTAGGGGAAAACTTCTGGTTGTTCATTCACTTCCAGACTTTGGTCTTGTTTCAGAACTTGAGTTTTGCATGCACATTTTACAGATCTGACTTACTTGTGTGCAGACCTTTGGTTCTTTGCCTCTCAGGCTGATGCACGGCAACTTTGAAGGATACACCACTAATGTGCTGACTTTTATGACACCCTTGTTGGGGGAAAGTAGGTCTATCCTCCCCCCCCCCCCCCCCCCCCCAACAATGGACCCTTGAAACCCACACGGGGACTGAGAGTATATGCAAAAACAGTCTGAATGTGGAAGTGTTTTACTAGAGACAATCACGTAGGGCTACTGTGGAAGGCAGACGAACCATGGACTAGGCTTTTAGGTTTAAGGTTTAGGTTTAAATAGATTAACCTCTATGCACTGCTGTGTTATATCAGACGACAGATTTAAAACAGTGCAACATGCAGCCTGAGTCTGCAGAATCTCAGCGCAGTGCAAAAACTCCATAGCACCGGCGAGGATCCTAAAATACTTTGGGTAGATTTTCAACTCCAAATTTGGTCCAGCTGCTAGTCACAGTGGACAAGAATGCAAATAATATCATGGAGTAGTAGTAGTAGTAGTAGTTGTTGTAATTTTTCAAAAATATCCTGTTCAACCCTCAGGGTTATAATCGGGATATGTAGTGTTAACTGAGTTCTTAGAGTGCATATTATTTATTTTTTTATAAATATATATTGTAATTATTTATTGGACTAAAATGTAATTTGTATTATTTCACATTCTGCTTTGATTTGGGAGACTATTTTATAAATGGTTCTATAAATAATTAGACAATCTTACTAACATTGTATCATTAACATGTTGAATATGTTTCATAAGTGTGCAATGATTAATTATTCTCCTCAATTTTATCTCTAGGGGAAACTTATTCAAAGATGCTATCTGAATTCTTTACGTTTCTATAAATGGATTTCAGTCCTAGTAATAAACTGCTTGACCTTGCCACACAGCTCTCTCGGGCAAGAGCCTAAAGGGTAGACATTCATTTAAGTTAACTTTTTGAGTCCCAGACGATGATAGCTGATGCCTGACTGAAGAGATAATGATGACAACCAATGCATGTGTATACTGCATCCACAGAGACCAGATACACAACACATTGTGGGTGACTTGTGTTCCTGGGTTGATTTAGTTTGCCTCTCTAGACTTTAGATGTACATATACAAAACATACTGAACAGTGCACATGAGGATTGCCAATACACATTGCGCTTTGTTTGGGACCGAAAGAGTTAAATGTTAGTAAAAATCAAAGTCAGATAATAGGTAATATCTTGGGACAGTAAAAAAAAAGAAACCAAGCAGTCCTCTACAAGACAGATGAATGCCGTAAGCCAACACAAGAAATTCCACAACGAAAAGGCAGTGTTTTCAGGCCCTGTGGTGAAAAGGAATAGATTAGAGTTTAGAGAACTTGGGACTACATCACGCGCAATTGAGGGACATCTCATTTTATAGAGGGGTTAGTGTGTAAGGGTTGGTGTTAACTGAATGGCAACTACTACTAACCCTAACCCCCCTCCCCCATAATTTGGGATTTCCGGCTATCCTCCAAATAACAGGCACAAAAGATGGGGGCCAAAAACAGGGCCTCAGTCACGTGTCAATTGCGCACTTGCACTTGCGTGTCAATTTGCAGTTTTCTGGCGACTACCGCCACCGCCAAGAGTCCCCTACGCTGCTCACGCGGCAAAGTTGCAGGAGATGCAGAAGCTGCTGCTTGTGAGTCCTAGCCATCTAGTTTAGCCCCAATCTACGCAGTGTGAGCGGCGTGGGGGACTCTTGGCGGTGGCAGTAATCACCGGAACACCGCAAATTGAGTCGCCAGAAGTGTGCAATTGACATCATTTGACACGTGACTGAGGCTCTGTTAGAATGTTTTTTTACGGCCGCCAACTTGTGTGCCCGGATAGCCGGATTTTCCTAAATGTTGTGTGATGTGGTTGTTAAACAGAAAAGAACCAGACAGGCAAGACTGCTAGAAAGAGAAGAAGTGGAATGCAAAGAAATTAATATCTAGATGGCTTAGAATTATAAAAGGGGGGTGGCGAGACAAGAACAATGACCTGATCTGTGATTCTGGTGTTCGTGTGAGATGTCCAAATATGAAAACCTACGCTTACCAGCATTGCACAGGATGATGATGCTACGTCACAGGCCATTAAAGTTCGTAGCCCTGAACCATAGCAGACGATGTGAATGGGAGTTAGCCTAAAAACACTTGTTGCTTCTGCTATCGTGTCATTATTGATAACTAATTTATTCATAACAGTGGAGATCAGAACAAACATACATAAATATATAACAAATAACTGACGATATTACTCGACGATTTCGCTACGTTAATAGAAATATGATATAACACTGCATCTTACCCAACACAGCCTAAGAGCAATAGCAGACAACAAAAACACCGAAATATCTAAAGTACGGCACCACGTCAAGGCTGCAGACCTGATAGTCTTCGCTGACGTTGTTTTTTATACTGAGCTCATCAGTTTTTGCTTCACTGACAGCATAGTGCCCGCTTATCGTAATTAGAGAACGTCACAATCACACACTAGGCTCTGTTTCCCGACCGGCCAGGGGCGCCGTGATAATGATATTATTGGGGGAGGGAGAAGCTCTAACCCCCCCCCCCCCAAAAAAAAAATAGAGTGCTTAGCTCCCCCACCCTTCTCCTGCCCAAGTTTCGGAGAAACATGTAAACATGTATCATATTCTAGTTTTACACTATCATACTCTGCTACAATTGCACGATTTTCTATGCATTGCCGTGTGTTGTGTGCATTCAGAAAATTCACACCAGGGCACACCGCTATTGAACAAGATTTATGACACGACGTCACTCGCCGACGAGAACTAAATACAGTTGAGAGAAGTGTGTGAATGTCGAAGGTTGGGAACCCGAAGCTTATCTGGATGTAGGCCTATACTTGATGCCGCAGTTTGCGGGGAACTTAGGCTCAGTACTCCGGTTTGGAGGTAAAGGGTTTAATACGGACATTCTGTCATATACGTTTTCATGGTCACGCACACACCCCTGTGGACAGTTACAAATAAACGTAATGTGTTTTGCCTGTCAACTAAGTTTTTTTTTTTTTTAAGCACCTTAGTTCAATTTTCGGCACAGTTTGTGGCGGCGTCTGCCTGATGTTGCGTTTTAGCAATTGCTACACCTAGCTGCACATTACTTGGCAGGGGCATTGATCGCCGCACGGCAGGGACCTGGGACTGCTGTCTATATATCGCTATACAGTAAATATCGCCGTACACTGTGTTATGTCAGACAATTACAGATTCAAAACAGTCTGATAATACACAAAACATGACAGTAGTGAAATAGTCGAGCTTATAAAGTTTGTGTTTGTGGAACTGGACCTACGCTTCTGGTAGTCCCTATATTAACATGAAACACAGAAAGACGTACTACTAGAAATGGTTGTTTCCAACGTAAAGAACACAAGTGTTGTGTGTTATGTAAGCCAAAACCG